AGGTATATTAAATGAGACTTTCTTAAAAATATAGACAACGAATGTATCTTGTGGTTCTCTTACAATATGAAAATGTGACATGGTTGTTTATTAAAATAATAACTGCATTGATCGGTTATTTTATTATCTATGAAAGAATAATTTGTATATTACTAGTTTCAATTGAACTTATTTAATAATAATAACTTATTTATATTCTAAAATGAGATACCTATACTTCAAAATTCTTGCTCCGCCAATAAATACTACAAATCCAACGTAAACTATAGTGTCCTACCACTACTATATAGATCAACTTCAAAATTCTTTCTCTAAGCTCTTCATCCCATTCGGACTTCACAACCTCTATAGTGTTACAACAATATCGGATTGTGGTGGGATTGGGGTCATTAATACCGGCAGGCTCGAAGTGCTTTACTACCAGTCGTACAATTTGTGTGGGTAAAGGTCCCATTTATAATTTTTGCTGTGCGACTTTTTTTTGGGTAGAATCTGTACAAATCCCATTGAAAGGGATGCATGCATGCATGTAAACTGTAGCGCCACCAACACAACAGCTACCCACACACTTAACTGTTAATTTCTTTTTTGGTGGAGCATTTAACTGTCGATTTTAATGTTTTCTGATCTATCTATCTTCTTTCTCTAGCAGTTTCCAGTCCAATCAGAGATAGCCACACAGGTCTAACTTGGACTGGGTCAAATCGCCTTAATTTGCATGAGAGGATTGACTTCTCATTTTCACATTTCTTTGGTAACCGAGCTAGCTAGCTATGTTGCAAAGCCGTATGAACCAAACTTAGTGCGAAGCTTAATAAGGCTAATATATCGCAAAACGAGTGTCAACTCTGTTCACCGTGTCGGCATAACAAAGGTATGTGATCAGTGATAATATTGAGCTTCCACTTTATTAAGGGAAATTGTGTGGCAAATTGATGATTATCAATCAGTGTATATGTTGGGAGGCGATGATAAATGAATTGGATTTATGAATTGGTGGATTCGAAGGATTGATTGGATTGAATTAATGGATTCATGTATTCGCTGATCCAAGTGACATCTAAAAATTGGACTATGATAAAAATTTGAAAGTTTAGTACGGAAATGCCATTATAAAAAAAATAGGTACCATGCATGGTTGTCAAACCGGTCTCATGCCGGCCGGTTCAACCGGTACCGGTCACCAAACCGGCTGGAAAGAGGCCGGTATTTAACTGTGGTCAAATTCGGTCAATGCCGGTCAGACCCGGTCAATTTCGGAAATTCCGGCCGGTTAGACCAGAAATCAGAATTCAATGTTACACATATTTTATCCAAAAATAAACACCCTCCTTAGGATTTGAACCAAGTATCTCATGTTCATTTTAGACTCTCTTATACACCAGTAGGCTACAAGCAACTTTGTTGTATATATTAACCTTATATATTATATATCTAATACTAAATTTTACACAAATCATTATAAACATTAATAAAATTCATTTTATATACTTTTATTTTTAAGCATCTAGTTGTTTAGTATTAGTTACCAATTCTTAGCTATAAATTATTTTGTGTGAAATAATTTTTCTAATTGCTTTTTGATGACTAATTTATTTGGAATTGAGGATTTCCATTTGTCTCATATATTTTATTAAAACCGGCACAACCGGCGTGAATACTGGTTGTACCACGGTCGGACCATTCCACTTTCAAAACCGGCACACCGGCATAAACCGGTTTGACAACCTTGGTACCATAATAAAGTTGTGAAGAATATTTTTTTTTTGAAAATTTAAATTTTAGATATCAAATTATAAAATATAAAAAAGGCAATGAATTTTAATTTTACAACAATCCATGAATCTACAAATCCAAATGAATTTAGATTAATTTCATTTATAATTTTGTGGATTGGATTCAAATGGTGTTTTTGGTAACTAACGGTGGAAGATAATAGTGGCTACTTCTCTTATTTTAGTTAGTCACATAAACTGGTTAATGTTTCATAATGGGTTTGTGACCTTGGTAACTAACGGTGGAAGACAATATGATGTTGTTGGAATCGCGGCTCGGCCGCTCGGGTAATAATGAGCTATAAAATTTATATTAATTAAAACGAAACATTTTTTAGGTTACATTATAATATATTTCCAAATTTTTTTTATTTATTCTAAACTAAAAGAACAAATCATACTCTAAAATTAAAACCATCAAATGAGATTTAACATAAGTTCACCGAAGAAAAAATGTAACACATATAAATTAAAACATTATAAATTCATTTCTCGAGTTATTATTACATTACACGCCATAAATGATCTGAATAGGGGTAAACTTTTCCAAATAAAAAGAACAAACAGTTGGGCCGAAAAGGCTTTCGCGGATTGAATAGTGTGGTGGGTCATAAATCTTTGACTATCCACAGCCTGGCCCATGAGCATTAAAAGCAATCACTTCCTCTAGAGGCCTCCATGGCCTGAACTGATGTCAATGGACGAGTTTGGGTTACTATATGACAAAAATATCTGTAATCGTGGATATTCGGCCGAATCCGATCTAGTAGGGTTGGGTGAAAGCCGAACTCGAAAGACTATTAGTGGGTATGGATAAAACCCGAACCCAAATATTGCGGGTAATGGGTGGGCATGGTTTTCTCACTATCCAACCCGAACCCTCCCGATTATACACATGCATATGTATTTTGTATAGAAATAATCATTATTTTTCTCTAACATATTTTGTATTAAGCATATAAATATAGTATTTTCATGAAATTGTGTTCTTTTAATTAATTTTCTTCATCCTAGTGAATTATTTTCATAATTTTCTCTTATGTAACGTGAAAATACGTGTTAATGTTAATATATTGATTGAAGTTGTAAAGGAAAATTATTATCCATGGATAATCATGGATACCCAAAACCCGAACGGGTATGGGCATGATTTTGATTTTCTACCCGTTTCTTATGTGGGTATGGGTAAAACCCGAACTATTTTGGGTAGGATAACGGATATGCACTATCCGTCCCCATCCCGACCCATTGCCATCCCTATTCCTAAATCATCCCATCGTGCTTAATAATAATTTAGTGGTCGTTTGTTTCGTGGATTTGGTATTCAAACTCAATTCATTATAGATTCAAAGGAAATCTATTGTTTGCTATCACTTTTTATAGGGACCAAATTCATGGGGTTCACCGATTTGGTTTCGTAAATCCCACGTATTGATGTGGAATTTGGAACATGTCATAAATCTATAATTGGATTTTGCCCATATGCCCTCATGAATTTTGAATATCCCAAGGTTGCCATGACATTTACTTATTGTACATTATAATTAATCAATTAATTAACAACAAAGAAATAACATAAATATTCAATTAATGTGCAAACATGAGTTAGATTTTCTATGGCCTTTTTCGTGTTCTAGTTTTCTTTGACCGTTTCATGGAACGTGGAATTCTTTATTCTTCCGGTTCTAATATATGTTGCTATATGTTACTTTTGAAAAGGAGGACAAATAATTGACAATTGATATATATCACGTCAAAAGTTAAACGGAATTTCCCCGTTTATTATTGTTGTCCTTGTGCAACATTATACTTATTAGTGTGTATTGTCCTTGTTTTGTGCACATATCATAAACATGAAAAACAAATAGAAAAGGATAGTAAGGTAGTTTTGGACTTTAAGTTTTAAATTCCAAATCTTTAAATCCATGATAAAACATCTCAACAAATTATAGGATTGTTACAAATTCATAATGTCTCAAACTCTTGATAAATCCATGGGTTTTTAAATTACAAAACACTTATTTTTAAATCCATGAAACAAACGATCCCGTAAATTCGTACACATTTCATATTTATGAAAGGAAGTTTTACAAACCTCTTTCCATACTCGCGATTTTTCGATATCCATGAATTATATACATAACGTATAATATGAACTCAAATCATTCGACCCTACAGCATCACTCAAAAACTAATTCAAAACATCAACTCAACGAACATAGAGCATAGGAGACGAGAGTCCGACGAGTTCCTTCTTATGCCGATGGATAGAGGGTGGTGGACGAGATGAGATACATGAGAGATATTAGAAATGATGATTGATGACTCAATGGTCTCGAGGGGTTAGGGTTTGGTACTTTGGTTTGAGACTTTAAGTAGGCATTTAAATCTCAACACTTTATTTGTTTTGAAAAATAGCATTTTTCTTCCATTCACACATTGCATTGCAGTGCTTACATTTTATTTTATTTTGCCTATATATATAATTATATATATAGTATTGGCGGAGTGAGTATGGATATGAGTATGAGGAGACGAATATATCTTTACGGGTTTTATAGCACTCAAAAACCATACTCCTATCTCATCAATATCTATGCGGGTTTTATCGGGTATAAAAAAAAGAGAATTACTTGTGTTAATTGGATCGGGGTGGTTGCCACTGGTTGGTACCCACAATCGTGGGTTTTGGTTGCATTCCATGTAGTACAATATTGTGCCTAGGGTTAATTCTTGCTAAAATAGGGGGCGAAAATCATATCTCTAACCCACGAATAATTATTGAATCAACATTGTATATTTTCCGCAACCTCCTCTCGACTCTCAAAGAATACTTCACTAATGGGACTGAATATTTATCGCTGTCTAAAAGAACTCAGCTATGCAAAATTGCAGTGAACATGAGATTTATAGATTGATATTGATAAACCAACATTGCAACCAATTTTGAGTTATGTGGCGAATGATCGTTGTAGTTATTTTAAGTTCTTAACTACTACTGTATTAGAATTGAATCTGATTTTAATCTTAATTAATAATAGTGTCTTATCCGCCATTACCCCACCATAAGCACTAAAAGCACCGTATTATTGGTACAACCTGTCGTTAATTAAAGAGGGAAAAAATACAGTGAAGTGAAACGCCCCAATCAAATAAAATAATAACTGATAATAAGAGAGATTATTTTATTTTATTTTATTTCTCCATTCTATTTCAGTTTCAGATTTCCAGTCTCTGCAAGACCAGCGGTGGTTGGTGTTTATTTCACCGTTTGGTATTATTTACCGTCGTTGCGCTGTTGTAGCCGAACGAGCCGCCATTGATAAAACTCCACTCTCCCACAGACAGTCTTCTCCGTTTCCAGCTCGTTAGGGGAAAAAAGAAGAAAGAACGCAAACGATTCTAGCCGCCGTACGTTCCCCGCCTGGCAATTTTTTCTTTCTTATTTTGTCATTTGGTGTGTGCTTTTTCCTGGAAATTGACTTGGAGATTTCCCCCCATTTCTTTGTCTTATCACATTCCGTTGGTCGCAGTTCAGCTGAGCTCGCACTCAGGTACCCGGCGATGGCGACCGGCGCTCCTGGACGGCTCGTCGGCTCGGAGATTCATGGATTCCACACTCTCCAAGGTAAACTACAGTACGGTCACTGATTTTCTTGGAACATATTATCAGGGAAGTTAATAGCCTCGTCCAGCTAGCTGGGACGCCTTTTTTTGGTCGATATGTAGTATATTTCTTCCCGGTGCCGGAATCTCGAGGTCTGTTTGACTGTTCTCTGGCATCGTTCTTCTGCCTTGTATGATGATGCACAGAGAAATTGAAAATAAGGGGTAGAAATTTGGGGTTAAGCCAGTCATTTGATGGTCCATTTGCCGTTCGGAGATAATTTGAATCGATTGTTATTATGGGGACTGGGGAGAGAACCTGGATCAAGGCAGGGAATGAATTTGACTTGGCCGATTTCGATTTATTGGTCATCCGTTTCACTTGTCTTGCTTTGATGGACCTGTTGTTGTTCTGGCTGCAACAGATTTGGATTTGGTGAACATATTGGAGGAAGCGAAATCGCGATGGCTTCGTCCTAATGAGATTCATGCCATCTTGTGTAACCACAAGTACTTCACCATCTATGTCAAGCCTGTGGCCTTGCCCAAGAGTAAGCTCCTCTTCCTGATGAGGTTGTCATGTTAAATCTGAATCCTGATGGTGGCTATGGGGTTTTATATTTATTAGTAAAGCAAGTGATTCAGTCGAAAGATAGCTGTAGTTTTTACCGTATATTCCTTTTGTAATTGATGGAAAGGCTTCAACTGATTCTGTTGTTTTCCATGTACAATGCCAGGTGGAACCATTGTATTGTTTGATCGTAAGATGCTTAGGAACTTCAGAAAAGACGGTCATAACTGGAAGAAGAAAAAAGATGGAAAGACTGTTAAAGAAGCTCATGAACATTTAAAAGTGAGAAATTTATCTGTTTCTTTTTTGATTCTCATGAACCACTCATTTCCTCGCAGCTTTTGCTGTTTTAATTGACCACTAAGTCTTGGAAAGAATCACCAAATCGTTTGCTCTCGGTCGAACACATTGTTCATGTACCATAAGACTTTAGTCTGTTGATGTTAAGACCAAAGATATTGTTTTTTATGTTGTTGTGGTCATGGTGGTATTTGGCGCACATTCTTGTGACTGTTAAGTATGAAAATTCGATTCCTCTAAGCGGCAGAAGACTTCCCTACATAGTAGTGGGTACATATATGTGCTTAAAATGTACCCAACCAAACTATGGTGCTGACTGTCTGACTTTGTTATTCTTTGTTTGCTTCAATATGTACAGGTTGGTAATGAAGAAAGAATTCATGTGTACTATGCACATGGCCAGGATAGTCCAACTTTCGTCCGCCGGTGTTATTGGCTGCTCGATAAGTACGCCCTTTTGAAATAACGCTTGGTTTCATATCTCTTGTTGCATTTGTACTTGACAAGGCTACTTTAACCTAAGATTTCACCTGGTAATTCTTTATTCTTTACAGGACTCTAGAACACATAGTGCTGGTTCACTATCGAGAGACCCAGGAGGTTAGATTTTGATTCTTTATCCGTTCTTATTTATATGAAAAATTAGGAACACTCTAAACTGACTTGGCCAGTGGATGTACTTGTCTGGTAATATCCTGTATGGTTGATGTATATGAGGTACTTCAACTCCATGTGTACTGTAACATTAGTATCTTCTATTCCTATAAACGCTTCACTAGTGAGCATATGAGCATCTAACCGTTCCTTTTGTAAGGATAGTTGTAGTTGCTTAGCTTATGGTGCAATTTGTTCTTGTGATAATAGTTGTTTAAATCTCATGCTCTCTTTCGGTTTGCTTACTGTACAGTTGCAGGGCTCTCCCGCCACAACCGTGAATTCTAATTCCAGTTCAGTATCTGACCCATCTACTCCTTGGCTTTTAGCTGAAGAATTTGATTCTGGAGCTGGTCTTGGATATTCTGCAGGCGAGAAACAACTTATAGGTGATGATACTTGTATGCTTCAGTGAGAGAAGATTTCCTCTATTTCGCTGGTCAATTCATTAGCTCCTTTTAGAGTGATCAAATTGTTATAGTTATCTCTTTGTTACTTATCAATATGCATGTGATACACAGATCCTGGTAGTTTACCTGTGAGCGATCATCAATTGAAGCTCCATGAGCTCAACACACTTGAATGGGATGATCTGGTGGCAGGTGATCCCAACAAGCTAACAACATTTGGGAGAGGTACAAAGTCTTTTGTACTTGTTATATGCAAGTGGATATTTGTAGCGAATCCTTTCTTTTCTTCTTCAGGATATAGTGGTATATCTTCATAATTGCTATTGGTTATTGTTAAAAGAATTTTCTCCTGGCTGTGAACAGATGTGAGCTCCTATCTTGACAAGCAAAATCAAGTTGCTGTGAATGGATCTGCTATATATGTAAGTGATCTTTGTTATCATAAGCTTATTTCTTGCACCTCCCCATGGTCTCTTTCTGTGTGAGACTTCCCTTGTGGTTATTATATTGTGAAGCAGGTTCAAGGAGTAACCAATGGTTTTTATTTATGCTGCGGATAGTCCTTGAAACATCAATTCAACATTTCTCCGAGCGTACATAGTGCTTCAGTGTTATGTCCATCCTTGTTTTGCTGCATATTTTGATGTGCACAATGCTTCGGATAAGCAAGATTTTAGTGGATCTTCTTTACTGTGCGTGCCTGCATATTGTGATTGCAATCTCTGGAATCTAATCTGCATATCTCTTAGTAAGCACCTCATATGTTGTCTTTTATTACAAAGGAACATTTAACAAATGTCGACACACATTCTTTGTGTGCAGCCCAATAGCGTTCAATCCTCTAATATATCTGAGGATGTTACCTCTGTAAATCAAGTCATTGCCCCATATGTCAATGTTGGCACCGCTTTTACCAGTACTGCAGATGGTGGTTATCTTCAGCCTGCTAATCTCCAAGTAAATCCGAACACACCAAGCACGGATCCTCGAGTGATGAACCCTGATACTTCACCGAACATTTTACTAGCTGATGGTTTGCAAAGTCAGGATAGTTTTGGAAGGTGGATTAATGACATAATGGCCAAATCTGCGGCGTCTCTTGACGATCATCTGCTTGAACCTTCTACCTCATCTGGTGATGGGTCATCTGCTTCTCCATCAATTGGCGAACATCAATATTCTGTTGAGCACTCATTTGTTATAACTGATATCTCTCCTTCTTGGGCCTTTTCAACTGAGACAACAAAGGTTAGTTCCACTTTACTGAAACCCACTTTCAAGACTTAGCAACTCCTGTATTTAACCCACACCTAATGGTTACTGCAGATTCTTGTTACTGGTTATTTCCATGAACAGTATCAGCATCTGGCAAACTCCAACCTGGTTTGTGTTTGTGGTGATGATTTTGTGACTGCTGAGGTAGTTCAGCCCGGGGTATATCGCTGTTTCTTATCTCCTAATTCCCCTGGAGTAGTGAATCTCTGTCTCAGTTTGGATGGTCATAAACCAGTCAGCCAAGTCCTGAATTTTGAGTACCGCAAGCCTGCGCAGCATGTTGATGATGTGGTGCCAACCGATGAAAACTCCAAGTGGGAACAATTCCATCTCCAGATGCGACTCGCTTATCTGCTCCTATCTACATCCAGGACCCTAAACCTGGCAAGCAGTAAAGTATCCCCAAGTAGCCTGAAGCAAGCTAAGAAGTTCGCCAACAAAACCTCCAACGTTTCTCGTAGTTGGTCATTTTTGTTCAAGTCGATAGACGAGAATAGGATCTCACTGGTGCAAGCCAAAGACGACATGTTTGAAATTTCTTTAAAGAACATGCTAAAGGATTGGCTGTTGGAAAGAGTGCTTGAAGGGTGTAAAACCAATGAATATGACGCTGAAGGTCAAGGGATAATCCATTTGTGCGCAAGACTTGGGTATACTTGGGCCATTTACTTGTATTCATGGTCAGGTTTGTCTATAGATTTCCGTGACAAACACGGATGGACAGCACTTCACTGGGCAGCTTATTACGGAAGGTATGGCCTTTTAAATTTTTTGTTACATTTGCATTTAGCATCATGTCCATAATTAGCTCATTCATCCTGGTTAGAAACTCCAGTTCCATATCATGGTCTATATTGTCACTAACATTAATAGAGTTGCTATTATCAACAAAATATTACCTATATATAGAGGGTTGTATGGATGTAGCTATGTAGGATTTGAAAGTGATGGACTGTGTAATTTCCATCAGATAGAATTGTTATTTGTTTATGATTAGTTAGGTTTCAGAATTGTGTATTTGAATGTGTTTCTGTTAGTAGAATGAATGAGCTTAAACCCTCACTAAAATAGACGGGGAGGCTTGGGTAAGCTCATCTCATTATTACCAAAAAAGGACATGCTAGACAATATCATGGATTGATTTCACTCACTTTCACTTTGGGGTGATTATGAAATACAGTGGCTCATGGATTTTCAACTCCATAGAGCTTGATATCCTTTTTAGCTCGACCAAACAAGGATTCTGGAAGGAACCCTCTACTCATGTACTTTGTGCTTGGGTCCATTTGGCCTATTGTCCAAGAACTTGTTCTGAAGTATTGTAATTAGTGAACATAAGAGTTCATCGCTACAAGTTTGCGTTTCAATAAAATGCCAAACACAGGGGATAGGGCTAAGCGGAGTGAAAGGAAGTGAAATTTTGTTGATTTGATCTATGGCTTCCAATTCTCTGTAATCCTGTCGTGCCTCAAATGTTTCAGGGAGAAAATGGTCGCGGTTCTTCTGTCTGCAAAAGCAAAGGCGAACTTGGTCACAGACCCAACTGCAGATAACCCTGGTGGATGCACTCCTGCTGATCTTGCAGCTGCTCAAGGCTACGAAGGCTTGGCAGCTTACCTATCTGAAAGAGCTCTGGTCACACATTTTGAGGACATGTCGATAGCTGGAAACATCTGCGGCTCACTACAACCGGTCTCTGCTGAACCCACTAATGCTGTAAACCTGAGCGAGGAAGAACTGTACCTTAAGGATACGTTGGCTGCCTACCGCACAGCTGCCGATGCAGCAGCTCGTATACAGGCAGCATTCAGAGAGCAGTCACTGAAGTTGCGCACCGAAGCAGTGGAGAGTTCGGGTACAGAGGCTGAAGCTCGGAGCATAATTGCTGCATTGAAGATTCAACATGCTTTTCGCAACTATGAGACCAAGAAAAAGATGGCTGCTGCTGTTCGCATCCAGTACAGGTTTCGCACCTGGAAAATGCGAAAGGAGTTTCTCAATATGCGGCGTCAGGTCATCAGGATTCAAGTAAGCTTCTATAATTCAAGATCCTTGTTGGCCTTACAGGCTACGTTTGTTTATATCTTCAAAATCTCAAGGTACATAAAATAGTTAAGCGAAACATAGAGCCCCATGAACTATTTAAAGATTAAAAAAATCACATCATACAGAGAGCTTTATCTTTAGCTTTGCCCTTTCCTTTTCAAAATAAGAATTTGTTCTCAGATATCGTATCCGTGATAATCATTTCACAAGTTTTATTAATTTGTTGCTGTTAAATAAATCAGCTCTTGTCCCATGGATATTTTTTTCTAATAAAAACATCTATTACACTCCATGAACTCAACTTATTGTAAAAACTTTCTGCCACTGCAGGCTGCATTCCGCGGGTTCCAAGTCAGGAGACAGTACAGGAAGATCCTGTGGTCAGTTGGAGTGCTCGAAAAGGTAATCTTAAGGTGGCGTCTGAAGCGAAAAGGCTTCCGCGGACTTAAAATCGAGCCAGTTGAATCAATCGTAGAAGACGGACAGCCAAGTGATGCAGAGGAGGAATTCTTCGTAGCTGGTCGTAAACAAGCCGAGGAGCGTGTGGAAAGAGCTGTTGTAACTGTTCAAGCCATGTTTCGTTCCAAGAAAGCGCAAGCTGAGTACCGAAGGATGAAACTAGCCTACAATGAAGCTTCGGTGCGTCACTTTGATGATAGCTTACATTCTTTTGTGCTGTCCTTATGATTTCGTATAAGAAAAGAAAACTGAAAGTGTTCTCCCTGTTTCTGGGTTGCAGGCGGAATACGATAGTCTTCTCTCTTGCGACAGTGAGATGGACAAATGAAAAAAAGGACAACAGCAGCAGAGAACTGAACGACAAAGAACTGATAATCTTGGCTAGGTATTTCTCGAGCTAAGGCAGTGTTTGGTAGCCTGTACATGATCTGCCTAATGACTTTTCTGTGCATTAAGGTAGAGGGTTAACCTTTAGGTGCGTAGTTGTTGCCTTTTCATAGTGTTTTTCAGGTACTGAAAAGGTCCCCTGTGGTTTAGTGTGAATATTACTATTGCCACTGTGATGGTGACGATGATTTAGGGGGTTGATTAGGTTTCATGCAAACAAGGACGCTTCTAGCTTAGATCGTAATTCCATTTTATAAAAAGAGGAAGAAGCTACAACCTAACTTCTCAATAGTCTCCTCGTGTACTACTGAAATGAGGGAATGGATTTTATAGTGGCAACGATGCGATGATGCATCTCGACTATGTATGGATGGCTAGAACAAATACGTCTCAATCTCCCAATATGCTTGTTTCAGATAGATGAACATGAGGTGTGAAGATTGCGGATTATCGGTATCAACTGCTTGAATCATTTGCTAACGTAAATGCAAAGATTGTCGATGTCTCGCGACGAGAGATTTCTTGAAGGAAGACACAACTGATCTATTGTATCTCATTGATGGTGCCTCTTCTTCCTCTTCCTATTGCTCACCAAAAACAAACGGAACTCTACCCAAGAGACGATGGAGCACTTGTTTTCCCCTTTCCAAATGCGGCAGTAAAAAAATTCAGTCACCCCAAATTATCTCTTGATTTGAGCTTGTCCTATAAGATTACATACAGTTCCCACTTTCCAACTGCCTCAAAGCATGTGTCAAATGTGACTTGAACAAGAACAGGTCGATACATTTTGGTGTCACAAACATAGCACCAGCTTTCTTGTCCAGCAAGTTTCAGCGATTGACCTGCAACAGTGAGCTATATAGCAATAGAGGATGGTTTATACTGCCAAGTTTTGCTTAATCCTGCAACCAACCAATTCAGTTCTACCCATAACAACAACAAAGAATTCCATTCTTCCAATCTAATTGTGCCAAATAACTGCAAAAATGTCACGAAGATAAACCCAGAAAAAAAGGGGCAAAGAGAAAGAAAAGAAAATGAAGAAGGAAGAACCCATCTATTATATCTGCTGCTTCGTCTCTCTCCCTCTCTCTACTTGATGTACTGAGAGAGCCACTTGAAGCCATCCCCATAACCCATCTTGCGGACGATGCTGCACATGAAGACCTCAAGAGGCCGGACATTGGAGTCCATGAGGTTGACCTTCCCCTTGCCAGTTGTGAAACTGGTAAGCCCTAGATGGTATCGAAGCTCTTCTTCTGAAGATGCATAGGGGATGTCAATCTTGTTTCCTAGAATGAGAAACGGGACATTGGCCAGTGCTTCGTCCGATAGGAGTGCGTCCAACTCTTTCTTGGACTCGGCAAACCTTTCCTTGTCATAGGCATCCACAAGGTAGACAACTGCATCCACCTGTTCATGCAAAGAAGATTGGCTTTAGTTCCTATTTTAGCTCTTTCTAGATATGGCGTCAATGCAAGATAGTGAAATAACAGAACTCGAGAAGCATACAGAACAACTATATACTTCAAACATACGCATACAGAACAACTATACACCTCAAACACAGCATCCAGAACAACTATATACCTCCTAACAAGTTTCATACCAGTTGGATGAAAAGAATAAAGAGGAACAGGTTAAGCTCAAGTTTCAGAACAAATGAAATGTATGGAAATCTACTATTAGAACAACCTCCCAGAAAGTATAAAGAGGTGCCATCAGCGAAAAAATCCATGTTCGGTGTCGGCCTCTCATGAATCAGAAGAACACAAAATGAGGTCATCTGGGATTAATGGAGGCCATTCGGACTATCAAGCGATTACATTCATCCAATTAAGACCACATAACAATATAGCCTGTACAATAAAACTAGTAAGACAACGATACACAGGATAGAAAGTCAACAGCATCCTCAGTAACAGTATATAATACTCCACTCTACACTGAATCTCAACAGCATCCCACTTGAAGAACATGCCGAGATCCCCAAAAATTTATACATCATTCCTACCACTAGAATGCATCGATCAACCAACAAAAGCAGGCAAAGCCACTAAGCTCAATTTCACAGCTTCCAATCAGCAAAAAATAAAGCGACCAAACTAGGAGGACAGTACTCACAGGGGCAATCAATCAAACAGATCGCGTGCACTCGCGACCACAAGCCGATGAAAGCATCCAAATTCCAATTTCACACAACAGAGACAAAAGAATAACGTAAAGCTACGAACCTTGGTGTAATAGTCTTTCCAGATGCGGCGAGCGATCTGATGGCCGCCCAAATCGAAAGCCTTGAACTTGATCTTCCCAATACTCAACTCCTCCGATGTAGGGTGCTGGGTCGGCTGATGCTGGACTAGTCTCTGCGATAAAGCGCCGAGCAAAAAAGAAACCAGATCCCCCGCCAAAAAAAAAAAAACCCCACCACAGATTAAATCAAAGATTCCTTCAAAATCGATCGGACCCAGAAAAGAGAAAAACTGAAATCGAAGGGAAGAAGTAGAAGCGAACCTCGTCTTTCAACATGTGAAGGAGAGTGGTCTTGCCGGCGTTATCGAGGCCCAAGAAGAGGATCTTGGCCTCTTTCTGCCATAACCCAAGAGATGCGAGAACTCCATAGAACCAGTCGAATAGAAACATATCGGCCGGCGCTGACGAATTGGTTGTTACTCTAGCTGGCTGCTGATCCAACGGAGTTGTGGAAGGAATGGGGGGATTGCGAGGCTCTCGAGTAGAGAGAGAGAACAACCCCAAAGAAATGGATCCAAATGGAGATGTGGGAGAGAGAAGTGATGTATTTATACTACCACTGACAATTTACAAGTTTAAATTATAGAAAAAAAGACAGTATAAAGTTTGGGATCTCAAAATTGGCTTTGCTAGCTAGAGGGACACTGACGGTGGGTTGGAAAAAATAAATGGAATTATGGGGTGGTTTGGTTTTGGTGATAGTTAAATAAATGAATTATCCAATATATGTATATTGGACAATTGGTGTATTGTAGTAGGGGTCGTTTGGAAGTTGCGATTGTTAAATAGATGTATTGTGGAGAATGCATGTATAATATTATACATGTATTGTCGAATTTGATGCATTGTAGAATACAACGTTTGGTATGTGTGATTGTGTATGTCGCATCAGCTAAAAGCTGAGACAAAACAATCTCAACTCAACTATCTCAACAATCACAACGAAAAGTTGAGATATAACAATCACTCAAAATGAGTGATAGTTTCTGTCACATCACAGAAACAATCCATGTATTGTTTCTGCTAAAAAAACAAAAAAAACGATGCATTGTAAACAATACATGCATAATGACAATCTCAACAAAACTATCGCAACTTCCAAACGACCCCTAGTTTATATCGTTTGCTTTTGTGATAGTTGTTGTGTTATTTAAATAATTTATATTACTTTTTGGATGAAATGTCACTTTTATCCTTTGTTTTTAATATAAAAAATAACACACATAAAAAGGTAAGGACATAGTTGGAAGAAAATAAAGCACAACAATCTCAACAATCTCACAAAAAACTTGAGATTTAACTATCACTCATTTTGAGTGATAGTTTGTGTCAAATCAAGTAGACAATGCATGTATTGTTTGTGCAGAAAATTCAAAAAACGATGCATTGTGGACAATGCATGGATGATAATTATCTCAACCAAACAATCACCAAAACCAAACGACCCTATATTTTTTTTCTTTTTTTCTTTGGCATGACTTGAGAGGACAACAATTAATGGATTGGAAATCAAGTTGAGAAATTGTGCAGTTTGGTTTAGATAAGATCATATAGATGATTTATGGTCTAGATCGACAAGTTGAAATATAGATCACAGAACATACCACATACTATATGGTCCAGAACTTCAGATCACACTTGTATGGTCTGATCCAGATGAACAATATTTTAGTCAACTATATGAAAAATTAAACCGATACCGAGAAAAAAATTTGTTTTTTACCTTAAAACATAAACTCTAACATGCATGAATAATTTCCATACCTTAAATCTCAGTAAATAACAAAGATACAAAATCAAAATATCCCAACTTGCACCGTAAATTCGTAACATCATAAACATTAACATAATGTTATAGGGAGACACCACCATCTCTATTACTAGGTGAAATGTGGCTGTGATGAAGGGGAGGAAGAGATTCTCAAAATTAGAGTTGAGACTTAGGTCTCGTTGGGAGAGTGGTCAAGTGGGCTGCTAACACGTATTGAGAAGTGAGTTGGGTTCACGGTTTGGTCCGGTAAATCGAGATCTAAACCATACCAGACCAAGAAATCAAAACATTATATAATACAGACCATGGATCGGACCAGATCATTCTAAATGGTCTGGTATGATCTGGTCCAAATCAAACTGTGTTGTCCAATTTGATCCACGATTTTTCAAACGATCTTGTCTATTTTTCCGCCCTAATAGGAAATATTTGTTAAAAAATAATAATTTAAATATTTATTAAGTAGAAAACCTTATTTTATTTCATTAATATGTTACATTTGCTTTGCGATTAGTGGTTGAGAAAGTATTTGTATATATAAATTTTGGATGATATCTAATTATTATTTTCATTGTGGTCAATCACTAGTCGGCCCAACTACCCAAAAAGTTGGGTAGGTGGGATGGTAACCTTTGACACCTTCATTTTCAATATTTTAATTACGTTTTGGTACTCAAAACTTTTAAAAGCATTCTTTTTTTTTTGAAAAACAAGTTTTATAATAATAAAAATTAATGAAATTATCTGAACAAAGTCGGAACCGCTGATTTCTGCTCCGGCTAGGGCATCATGTGTTTTTATTGGAAATTCGACCTAGAGTCTAGAACTAACATTGACGAGGACACTTCAGGAGATACTAGGACAATTTCAAATTTTGATTTCGGGTTCATTTGTGAAAATCCAAGTTCTAGTAAAAGAGGCAGAAACCGTACTTGAACTACCATAATTTGTGAGGGATTAGCACGACATACCAAGTTTTTCATATCACAATGATTATATTTAGGTTAAATACACTTGTATATCCAAAACTTTCACGGTTGTGCCAATAATATCCAAATTTCCCGAAATACCACTTATATCCAATTCCTTCACATTCGTTAACGATGTTTTTGGATATACAAGTGTATTTAACCAAAAATATATTGAGAAATGGATAGATTTGGCAAAGAACAACTTTAAAACATGGATATAAGTGGTATTTCGGGAAATTTGGATATTATTGGCACAACCGTGAAAGTTTTGGATATACAAGTGTATTAAACCTTATATTTATGCTTAGAAATGACCTAGGTGAACTAGAATGACATGATTAGGGGTGTATGGACTTTTGTGCTATAACCTATATGATGAACCCTAGACTTCTATAACATATTTTTTGTCTTGTTTTAATCGTTATGGACAGTGTTTATGTTGATGATTGCATATATGTTGCCATTTGTGGGCTTAACTATTGATATGTTTTATGATGGTTTGAGAAGGTACTTGAATATAAATTCACATGATTGTTGTATTTGGATTCACAAATGGGAAAATATACTTCCCCAAATGATACTATGATGTGTAAGGAGGATGACTTTGCACGAGGGTTTATCCCGAGGAAGTGCAATTATACGACTCATAATTTACCTTTGTTGAGCCAATTATGGCCAAGTCAAGTACATGTTCAAGTAACGAACTAATATTAAGCAAGATGAGTTATGGATCGGTTACCAAACAAGAGTGATTTGGTCTCATGGTCAATTACATAGTAATTAGGCTTCCCATGCTATTACTCTGTGTGATAGGTTATGTCACACCCCTGATGTGGTGTTGACCGATGATTTTTCATGAGATATGTATACACCCAGAGTGGTGTCGTGTATGACCACACCTAGAGTGGTGTCAGGTCCGATATGACTACACCGATAGTGGTGGGTCCGATATGACCACATCCACGAGATGTTTGGTTTGTTTTCCCGTTAGAGTAATTAGCATGGGAGTAGCCAGACGCCTACAAGTAAAACATGATAAGACGCATATGCATAAGTCAAGGTGGTTGAGTCTTTTGCCTATTGGGATGTTGGATGGTTGAGGTCTGTCACTAGTGTTTTGGCTTGATTGCTAGATGTATGATAGGGGTATGCTTTGTTATGAACTACGATACAATGATCGTCTCACTCAGCTATGAGTTAACCCTCTTTTATCATTTCCCCTACTTATACCATGTGTAAGCAGATTATTAGCGGCAGCAGTAGATAGGTGTTTAGGTGGGAGATAAGCTAGAGTTGAAGGCAAAATGAGGTATGGTCTTCAACTATTATGTGCTTGGATGACTACTCGGGATTTTGGCCAGTGATCCACACCTTTTTGTAAAAATGTTTTGAGAAAGTTTTTCATGTGCATACTAGTTTCTGATGTAGTGTGAGATATCCGCAGGTGTGGAATGTTGACTATATGTGTATATGAGTGTGGTTGTGTTGTAGTGCCGATTATGACATTTATATGTATGGTATGCAATTGCAGAGCATAAAATTGTGGCTATGACGATGAAAAACCAATCTATATGGTTGTGTGTATATATGTATGTCTATGAATGCAGAGATTCACATAAATTATTTTGCAGGATTAGTTGCAAGAACTATTAGCCTATTACGGGAGTAATTCATGTCGAAATTTTAATTTGCATAATTTTGGGAATTAATGTAACACCCGAGATTATTTTCGCTGCGAATGTATGACCAATATGATTAGGTAATACGTATAGGTTAGAGTGTTACATCAGTTATCACGTTGGCACGATAAGTGCTCACAATGTAGCAATGATTGAAAAATTGTACTTTACCAGCGGTTCGACCACAAAAATATATTGCCAGAAGCAAGATCGGTAGGCGGTATTTAGCGGTATGAGATGGTTGAACCACAATTTCAGTTTAAAATATCATACGCTGAGTTTTCCGATACAACCTCCGGTATGATATTTCAATCCTTGCAATGTAGTAAAAGATTAACCAATATGTATGCTCTCACTTCTCACTAAAGAATTAACTTCAAAACATAAGGAGCCATTTAGTTGCCCAAGAAGAGAATATGCTACCTTTTGCAACCTATAACAATAGGTCCAATTAGGGGTAGGCATTGGGTGGGTTGGATGGATTTTGAACATAAAATGCATCTACTCGAGCTTAAACGGATTGACAAATTTTAACCCACCATCCACCCATATTTAGTCTCGGGTTGGGTCGAGTAGATGGCAGATGATGCATGTGGGTTCACCCACATCACAATGTACATAATATAAAGGAGTCAATTTGACATAATCCATCTATATTTTTCAGAAGCCACTGTGTAATGTCAATATGAAAAATAAAAATCCATTTCAACCATTCACCCTCCAAATTTGAGTTTAACATTTGAATTTAACTTCAAGTGGCAAGATAATTGGTGGAGAGTTATCAGACATAAACAAGAAGATGGAATGAGAAGAAAAAAATGTCGAATTAGTTCTGAAATTGTATATAATTTTTATTATGGAGGAGTTTTCTACGGATGAAGATGATTACCGGGTGCAGGAAACTAAGAAAAATAATTCAATGGAGGAAAGAGAGGTGATTCAGACACAAGAATAAGAGAGAAAAATAAAGAGAAAAAGAGGAAAGTCGATATTTGGAAGATTGATTTTGAGATTCAATGTTCAGGAATAGCTCTGGTTTCCGTCAGCGTCTCCACTCTCCAATCTCCAACGCAAATGACTTTGTTATTTTTGGTGTTGGGTTTGTTGGTAGAGTTGAGCGCGAGACTCGGGAGATGATTGCCTCTGCTTCTTCGATCAATTTGAATTCTGCAGAACCCTAATTTCGGTTTCGACAAGAACAATTGAGGAGAGTGGAAGAAACTAGAAAATCGAATCGATGGAAAGGGTAAAGTGACTTCCCTTTCGTGTTGAACAGAAACGACAGCGTATTTAGAGCTTAGTCCTGAAGTGGGTTGGGCTTAGACAGTTCTCAATCTGCCAATATTCAGTTGACACAATTTTCTTGCTTGGGACGCTGCGTTTTAAAGACTTAGTTTCCTTCTCCTTCCCTTGAGCAAACCGATCAGAACCTGTTCTGCACAAAACTCAACTTTGCACTGTATCAAGAACACAGAAACAATATGGAAATATAATGAAGCAAAGTAAAGCACGATTAAAACACGGACACGGTATTTTTACGTGGTATACGGTACTGATAAATTTTGTACCGACTAATCCACGGTCAAAGGTACTCTAATTTGAGTCCTTTGACGTTACACTATGATGGTAGGATTCAGATTACAGTTTACAATTCGATCTCGTAGTAACTCCCCGTTACTAGATCAGAGTTCCTGATCCAAATTCAGCTCCCTGCCTGAATTCAAATCTCAAATCACTCAACCTATCTCCCCGACAGCTTCACCTCCTTTTCTTTTCAAAACACAGTCTGCACTCTTGTTTCTACTTTTGAAAATTGCTCGAAAAGGATGCTATACTACCCATAGCTCTCTTCTTTTATAGTCTAGTTATTCCCACCCGTTGCACACAGATTTGGAGAATCAACCTCCCTGCTTGATTTCCTTCAATCACTCGATTCAGCAGAGCCTTCCTCTTTTAGTTTCAGCTTGGTGATTTCCTTTCTTTCTTTCCTCAATTATACGATGCCAGTGGACACAACTTCACCCAACAGGGTTGAGCGGGTCACCCCGCGCACCCGTCCACAATCCACCCCCACCCCACGAATGCCTCACGACTCAACACATCACCCACCCAAATAACAAAATTCGGGTCAAATTCCGCCGGCATGCCCAGCCCTAGGTCCAATCACGTAAGTACATAAAATCAAGGCTGTACTCTTCGTTCTGCAAACAGCTCAGTCCACTACAGAACCTTCAAGCCCATTTTAGGCCAAGGCCCATGCTCGCGCAGAAAGAAATATAAGACCCTCGAGATTTAGGGTTTCAGTTCAGAAACTCCGTGGAGCCAACTCTTCCTGAATTCCTCGACGCAGCCGCATTCTCACTCCTGCTCGCTGAGGTTCGTTTCAGTCTTCTTTCTCTGTCTAGATTTAGGGTTCGGTTCCGCCATTAAAGCTTTGCTGTGTTTTCATTCCTGCTATCTTATTCTGTGTTGATCGTTGTAGAGATGGCCAAGTCGAAGAATCACACCGCCCACAACCAGTCCTACAAGGCTCACAGGAACGGCATCAAGAAGCCGAAGAGGCATCGCCACACTTCAACCAAAGGGGTAAGCTAACTTCTGCCTCTCTCTCTCTCTCTCTCTCTCTCGCGATTCGTTTCTTTGTTTCTGGTTTTTTCATTTGTTGATTTTTCTATTACGGTCTTGTTTCAGATGGACCCGAAGTTTCTGAGGAACCAGAGGTACGCGAAGAAGCATAACAACAAGAGCGCGGAGGAAGGCAGCGCGGAAGAGTAAACTTCAATTTCCTTGGAATGACTGGAGTTTTCATTTTCGTTTAGTTGCTGAATCCGTAGAGTTTGTACTGGATTTAGTTTTACGTATTTTGATAGTTGGATGAGTTGAAAATGGTACTCTGAATGGTGAAGTTTTCCTTTGAAATACTAGTTGATGTCAGACTCGGTTTATTGAGCTTAATGGGTTTTTGAAAGGCATTCTATCTGTTTCTGGTGTTGTTTTGCTGGAATCTGGCAATCGACATTGAAATTCCATTGCTGCTTGTTTCTTAATTGGATTTTGCTGAGTAGTTCATCGCTGTGATTTTGTCTATGGGTTCCCAATAGGCTACTTAATTCTGGTTCTCTCTTCCTAATTGTGGTGCTCCATTGTTTGTGAAGAATGTGGAGGGTTTTCAATAGGTTTGTAGGGGTTCCTTCTGTTCTGTCTCAAAGTGTTGTGCTGTATGGACTACGTGCTGATCTTGTTGGTTTTCCTTCGATGGTAGTTACAACTTACAAGGTTGAAGCTGTCCAGAAAGAAGGCCATGACCTCATTTTTTGTCATGGTTTTCTCTAAGTCTGTAGATTGGTAGATCGTGGTTTGCTGTTGAGATAGGTGATAGCTGTTTCGTGGTATTCTATGTCTTTGCATAGAATGAAGCTGGTTTCCAGAATCGAGGCATCATTCGGTTTTTAGTAGGGTTTCCTGGTGAGGATGGGGGAAAAGCTTTACTTGGGTGGTGCTTCTGTCGGGATGTAAGCATTGTTGCCTTCCATTTCGCTTCTTGCTTCTTGTCATCCCTTGTATTCAGCTCTGATTCTTTAAACCCAATAGTGTGCAACTTGTTTCCTTTCGTATCATAAACCAAGATTTTAAGCGAAGAATCGTTTGTGCTTGGGACTCGTACTGAAGAGCAGCATTGCCTCCTTGGTAAGGCAGCAGTACTAATGTCTTGAATACAGCTAAACCACGAGCCTTTTGGCTTTTGTCCAATGACCCTAGCAAGGATGTACCTTTTCAAGTGCATCTTGTTATGTGATCGTGGATTATATGCAGATGATCAATTTTAACAAGATCGGACCAAATAAAGCGAAGGGTACATGATCGAAGCTAAGCAATCACGAGGATTGACGATCTACATCCATGTACTACGAAAATGATGTTCTATCTACATTCTTTAATCTCGCTCATAAAATCCCTGATAACATTACCATGTTGGCTACTGGTAAACATCGAGCAACGATCCATCACAGTAGACTTTCAATTAACATTACTTGCAGAGTGACTGTACACAAGGTACGGGTGGCTACCGATGAAAGATGACATTCAATTGTTAATATTACTCTCAACGAAAATGTTGGTATACAATCAGGATACACAATGAGACAATGACAACAACCATAAGATGAAGCCTCCCAATACATTCGAGTCCTATAAGTATCTAATACCTCAAACCATAAATTAGTACAAAACCGGATGATTATTAACTCGAGTGTATCTATGGTTGGAATGAACGAATTGGAGAAGACGGCGAACTAGCTGGCATTACTTGTGTCACGCCGATGGCTTCCTATCATGTTCAATCATGGTACACTCTTTCCAACACTTGCCATTTGATATCTCGGCGAAGCATTGAGATTTGCTTAGACTGCAACTGGTTCAGCTACTGGGCTGCCAACATGTGCGTTAACCTGCCCCATAAATTAAAAAGGTCCATCACTTGCTTGAAGAAGGGTGATCTGGTCTCCAGCTTTAGAAAATGTACGAAAAAATGTGGGCGAACACTATATTAGGACAAATGGTTCGTAGATAATTGCAGCAAGAAGATATGATTCCAGTTCATGTAAACCAGATAAGGATATGGGTTGGCGGTAGTTCAGCATCGTGCAATGTTACACGTCTGTCTGATGTGCTCGTGCACAGAGGCCAGATCAGAAGCTCACCTTTGCTGACTTGAAGAGTTCATCGAGAACTTCAGAAAGCGTGGGATGTGCGTGAACTGCTAATTTCAAGTCCTGCAAAAGCATAGATATATGTTCGGTTGAATCACATTTGAAGACGAGGAAGTGCAGAAGCAAACGCTATACCGTTTTATGCGTAAAAAGAGAGGACAAACCTGGATGCGAGTCCCTAAAGCTATAGCATTAGATGCTTCGTGGATGAGATCTGCAGCATGCAGCCCAAAGATATGAACGCCGAGAATCTCTCCGTTGTCAGGTCTGTATATCAACTGCAATACAAAAAGGACGACCATCTTACAATTGTTGATCATCTTAAATTTGCAGAAGAATGGTAATTGAAGGATACGAGGAGTCGGCGAATATAACCTTAGCAAGACCCTCCCCTTCATTTTCGGCCAAGGCCTTCGTGTTAGCCTTAAAGCTTGTCTTGGCAACGGCCACTTCAAATCCCTCTAGTTCAGCCTTTTCCCTTGCTTGAGGCTGTGAATCAGAATCCAATTAAAAATTCAGTACTAGATAACAAACATTACATCTATGTCATGTGATACATTCAATATAGCACAATGCAAGGTCTTCAAGACACACCTCTGTCAATCCAACCATACTGATCTCAGGATGGGTGAAACAAGCAGCAGGGATGCTTAAATGATTTAGCACGTGGTCTCTTCCAGTCAGTTGCTCCACCACTAACGATAGAGCAAATAAGGAATTGGTAAGGACCGAAGACTTAGATCGAGATGTTGGCACACTGTTTAAGTTTACCAACCTGAAATTCCTTGCGCACTGGCTGCATGAGCAAGCATCATTTTACCGTTGGCATCACCAATACAAAACAAGTGAGGGACCTGGCGACCATCATTGAGAAATCAACGGTCAGGATGTTAGTGACCTACGTCACTTGAAAAAACACGCGAAAGGTTTTTGAGCTTACCCGGTCCCCATTGGAATCAATGACACGCATACGCTCATCAACAGGAATAAAACCACGTTGGGTTGCAACATTAATCTGCAATGGTAAGGAGAGTCAAGAATAAGAAAATATATTCGGGTACTGGCTTCTTTTCTCTGCTTATCAGAGAAATCATCAAGAAGTTGGGAGTTTTAACAACAAATCATACATTCTCCAAGCCAAGACCGTTGGTGAAAGGTGCTCTTCCAGTGGCAATCAGAGCAGCATCTACCTGTAGCAAATGCAAAGTCAAAGTTACAGGAACGGCATGGCATGTAAAAATCATTAAAACAAATAGACGAGAAAGCAGTCACGTGATTTGTATTCCAAACAGAGCGCATAGCTCAAATACCTCGAGAGTTTCTTTTGGTTCCTTGGTTTTGGCATCAATAAGCTCAATAGTAACTGGTTTCCCATCTTTTGCAGGAGTGATCTATGCCAAGAAAAGGCAAGTCAGATGCAGTGCTTTTTAAGCAAATGTACCACAACAATAAACTCTACAACATGGAGATTCGCATCTTTTCACCTTGGTTGCGAATACTCCAGTGTGGTAGTCAATTTTGCGAGGATTAATTAAGACTCTTTGAGCCAACTTCCCAATCTCAGGATCAAATCCAGGCATCAGTTGGTCCAGAGCTTCAACGAATGTCACCTGCAAACACGCCCAATTCAAAGATGCTTTAAGATGCAGCTTCGCAAAATGAGAAAGCACTTTCTGCAAGAGAAATTCAATAGCAGGGGGGAAACAGAAAACGGTACCTCACTTCCAAGTGCAGTATACACATCACTGAATTCAAGACCAATGTAACCACTTCCAACAATAGCTATCCAGTCAGGTATAGACTCCAGTTTGAGGGCGTGATCACTTGTAATGACTGTCTTCCCTGCAGGCATGACCAGATATAAGAGATCCTCCTAGTACAAGGACAACAGAAGACTGGATAGTTTTAGCGGGGCCCTCAATTCTAACAAGGAACAGAACATTCACACTATTTCAAGAATCGTATGGTTGGAGATGCGCCTTTTACAAGAATACTCCTTCTATCATGGAGTAAATTATCTGTGTATTCTTAGTAGGTACTTATTATTGTAATTAAACAGGAGAGCATTATTGTAATTAAACAGGAGAGCGTGGAATGTGCACCCCTTTGTCAACATATCAAGCAACCAGACAGTATCACTTCTTATTTCTAAAGGTTATAATCTCCAAGCCATGCACTCATTTATATACTCGAGAGTTAACAGGGAAAATGGCTAGGACAACAATCATCTTCGTTTTCTATAGGCACTGATGATACCAAAACTGCCCTTGTCTGAACTGCTACAAAAAGGTAACTTTTGATATCCACATGGAATAAACAGAAAACCTTAAGAAAAATTACCATCGACTTCAATCCCCTTCGGCACAAATGGGACAGAACCAGTGGCAATGATGATGTCCTTTGCAGTCACAACAGTGTCTTTCCCAACTTTCACCTTTTGTGGACCCTGAACCAAGTAACAAGAATCTTTCAAGACATAAACAAGGCACAGAATCCTTCTGAAAGAATATCTGAGCATGACTTGTCTTCAACGGAAATCACGACTTTGTTTAGAAATAGGGTAAACATGCAACCACATCCATAGCACAAAATGCCCACTCACCAAAACTGTGCCAAAACCAGTCAAGATGTCCACACCCAATGCCTTCATTGAATTTGTCAAATTGCTGCGAATTTTCGTAGCAAGATTATTGGCATGATCAGCAACTCCTTGTCTGTCATAACTAGCAGCTGAAACCTATCACAGTTGGAGACAACCCTATTACCACAAGATTCCACCAAATGGGTTCCTCATCACAGATTACAAATTGGGTTCATTCATCTTTAAGCACACTTAAGCAAATGCAGGATTATCAATTCCTGCACAACTAGTCGTACAAACACCATAAGCCTATTTACCTGGAGACCCAAAGCTTTCAAATGATGTTCATTTTGAAGCTCGCGCATCCGGCCACTAACAGCCAGCAAAGCTTTCGACGGGACGCAACCTCTGTTTACACAAGTTCCTCCGACGACATCCCCCTCAACAATAGCAGTTTTTAAACCCTGGCCAGAAAAGAAAAAGAAAAAAAAAAAAGCAAGACCAGATATATAATTTTATCCCCTAATCAGAAATTCAGATGGAGCAATTCGACCACTTCACAAGAACTTCAAGCTTAATGAAACCAAATCAACCCTACTTCAAACTTCCCGAGTTCTCAATTGTCCTCAAACTAGCAGCAATGTCAACGAAATCAACCCAAGTAAACTAACCGCATTACCTTCTCAACAGCATGAAGTGCAGCTCCGTGGCCGCCAACGCCAGCTCCAATGATGATCAAGTCGTAATCGAACGACTTGGGAGCGCTGCTGCTGCTGCCATTGTCGCCGCCGAGGGAGGCCCAAACCTTCTTCGACCGAGCTGCGTTCCTATTTGACCGGTAGGCGGAAATAGAAGAAGAAGAAGAAGAAGAAGAAGAAGAAGTGGAAGAAAACCCCAAGGCTTCCCTCCTGAGACCGCAGAACCTGAGATTCACAGGCTTCGACGGGAAAGGGAGGGAGGACTCGAAACCGTGGCCTGATCTGGGGATGGCGGCGGGGTTAGATACTGAGAGACTGAGCGAGGCCTGCATTTTTGTTGTCCGAAACTGAATGGGGAGAAGGAATTGGAAGGATCTGGAAATGGCGGAGGGAATGGAGGAAGACGGAGGAGGCTTTTTGGGAGGGGTTTATTAGGGGAAGAAGTGCTTAGAGAAGACCGTTGAGAAATAAAGGCTTGTAACGGCGGAGTTCACAAAGCTGCGCGGCCGATGAACTAACCACCTCGTTTTTTAACGCTAATAAACTATCGCCTGGCTTTGCGTTTTTTCTCCAGTTGGGCACGTCGCTGTGTCTTTGACGGTTGGACCGATGAAAACGATACCGCAGTTTTCTTTTACCTTGTTACAAACTAGTAAATACCTGTTTTATTGTAATTTTGAGGGTTTTACATTGGTCAATTTTTTTTTTTTTTTTTATAACCCAGGGAACCTCAGCCCCACGTGCCGCTTGAGCGACAGCGGGGCCTACTAAACCACTGGGGGTACCTGCATACTAACCGGGGCTTTCTGCTACCAACATCGGGGGGGCTTCGCCTCCGATACCAAGGGTGCCGCCGGGAACGCACAAGTGGCTCCACTGGGAATCGAACTCAGGACCTCTCACATCCAGAGCTCAATTGGACCAGTGTTTTCACCACTAGGCTATGTTACCTTTGGCTTACATTGGTCAATTTGGTTAAGAATTGGGTCGAGTTGATTTAGGATGGACCAAAAACAAAAGAAACGAGGACACGAACTCTACCAAAAAGTATGTTTGGTTTATTTGATTCGATTCGATTTGGTCAAATTCAATTTCTGTTCATTTTTTCCTCATACTTAAAAATGATTCATAGGACCCATACCAAATCGAAATATATGTGATTTTATCTGATTCGATACGGTTTCAATCCTTGTGAATCGGATTATTGCCCAACCCTAAGCATTCTGAATCCTAATACTCATAAAAATATATCGAGGAATCGATGTTCATGCAAATTGTTGTATTTGTAATAGTCATAAATTCGTAGAAAGAGAGTTTAGATTAGCTAAAATAAGATCAACCTAAGGGTGTCCAGGGTCCAACTTGGTTAGAGAGTCGGCGACAAATTTATCTTACAATACTAGATTTGGGCATGCTTGTTGGCCAGATGAATTTCATTAATAGCATAAATAACCATAGTCATTGTCCGAGACAAGACATGTTTTTATTTCATATACCGTAAAAAATTTCAAATCATTTAGTTACTGGAAATATCATACTCGTATAATTTTCAACATGCTAATCCGATATCTTGCTAAAGTCCTTATTGAAAGTAAAAAACAAAGCTAGGCAAGAAAATCGAGTACTAAAAATTCAATCAGATTACACTATTTTCTCCTCGCTATAACAAATTATTGCAAATTTCATTTTAGATTCCATGTGATCGCTCCTCCTCCGTCCTCCAAAGCACCATCATCTCTACCAAGTACAATCCATTTTTCTTCTTTAACGAAACCTTTATCTTCGTAGTAGTTTGTTCCTTCTCCTTTTCTTTTCTATTTTCATTGAACTAGCACAGGGCCCGGCCCGTTGGCCGGAAGAATTTTGTCGAGAAATATGGTATATAATAATGGATATAATAGATGATTTGTAATGCATGAAATGATTGTTTTCTATCTTAGTTATGCACATAACATTTTTGAAAGTCATCCAACTATGCATAATGTGTTTACAGCTCCATGAAAAGAGAAAAAAAAAATATAAGCATTACATATAATTATTGAATGAAAAAACGAATATAACTAATTGTCATTCACTACTTAATTAAACCATATAGTTGAATATTATAGTTACTTCTCATAATACATACATAATCACCTTTAGGATGAAAGAAAATGTCTCATAGAGTTTAGTATGTCCTTTAACTTTTTTTCTAATAGAGAGCATTCTTTTTTTACCACACTGTTAGTAATGAATCTGAAGTTGCTTGATTTGAAATATAGAAGACATGATGCTAAGTTGTCGCTAATAGTTAGTTGAATAATGTGTTGTGTACGGACTTCCCAAATTATTCTCAGATCGTAGACATGTCTAGCAACAATATAGTAATTTTCATGCAGCAAATATTTTTTTCATGAAATAGTTCAATAAATAAAAACATATGAAAATAATATTACATGAAATATATGTTACTCATTAAGTTGAGGGTATGAGTAGCATACATTTATTTTAAAAATATAGAAGTTGCGAAGTGTCTTTTGGGTCGCATGAAATCGCATATTCTTATTATCGCTAACTGACGTATCCTTTTTTGCAATAGATAGTTCAAAATGTACCTTAAAACCTTTGTTTCTACTAGTGTAAAAGAATTGTTTGAACCAAAGGATTGTAAAATCGTATAAAAAAAGTTGGTAGTAGAGTATTTTATACTGAAGTCATAATCTAACTGTGGTTCAACCATTTCATATTGTTAAATATCACATATCGATTTAGTCTATGATGTGAATTTATATGGTCTAAATCGTTGGTACGTACGATCTTTCAAGCCTTAACGCCTTAAACCATTGTATTTATATAAAGAATCAAAATGCATAATCAGGTTCATCATCATTTCACATGTATTTGCCGTATAAATTCATTACACATAAAAAATGGTTTGAACTGACGCCATATCAAACTAAATCTCATCTTATGATTATTGGATCCATGTCAGATTAGCAAAAGGTCTAAGGCTATTGGTCAACCGGGATGAAAATTAATACTAATTTAAGAATTATATATCGTTTCCAAAATGTTCAATACTCCAAATCAATATGCAATATTCAATATTCAAACAAATGATATATGAGTTTCAACTATTTCTCAAGATTTTTAGACAAAAAAATCCCCCCTCCCTCCCCCCTATCACACATTTGCAAAGAAATACTAAATCACAATTTCGTCTTCGCTTTACTTGCTTCTAAAGTTATTGTTGACATTGTTTGTTATTACTGCAAGCTATAAAAAAGACTTTTCAGCTATTAAGTTAATCAAGAATGAATTTATTAATGAATTTTTAGTTGTATACATTGAAAAAGGTATACATTGAAAAAGGTTTGAGTCTCAAAATAAACAATGAATGTATTTTATAAATCTTTTAGAATATGAGTCATCACACGTTGATGTGAGAAACTACTCATTAATTCAAATTTTATATGTTATTTTTAGAATATTTTGTTTTATTTTTATCAAATGATGCATTTCTCCATAAAACATGAGTTCACCAATATTGAATGTGTGGAACTCGAACTTGTGTGCGAGCCCTTGAAGTTTAAGTCGGTATGACCCATGAAGCATTCATGCTTGTACATGGTCGATCCATATACATTGTCTTCATGGTTAGATCGACCATATGCCTATGTATAGTTATATGCATTGTAATAATTAAGTTTCTACCTATTCACAAAACCAAGATAAAAACAGTCATAAATGCACCCAGTATTCGATTTTGACTACCTGATGAAATACTATATTTTAATAAACTACAACTGATGTCACAAATAATAATTATACCTCTAAATCATATATAAAATATTTCAAACATCACAAACATTAAGATTAAATTAATTATTATAAAGAGTAAAAATTGTATAATGAGGTTAATTATAACTCATTTTTATGTTAATGCCCTATAAATTGATCAACACATACAATCCAAAACTGATGAAATGAACATCACATTAAACTCGATATCGTCTCATTATTGTCGGGTCCATTCATGCCTGATTAGCAAGATTTTAACGTTTAACAGTTAACCATGCTAAAATTTTAGAGAACCCGTCACCTATAGTTTGTACAAAATATTATTGTTTCGTATTAGTTCTTAAAATTCATATTAATTTACAGAATTCTACATCGCTTTTGCATATTCAATACTGCAGTTCGATATGCAATATTTCAAGCAATGAAATTTGTGTTGTAATTTTAAGATTACCTGTCATTTTATAGTTTATAAAAATTACAAATCATGTATTAAACTTTGCTTTTCAGAAGATTTAATAGGCTAGCTAACCGTGAAAAGTCCTCTGCTTTTCAAATTTTCGTTTAGTGCATGTTTACAAGTTATGAAGATAAAATAAATTTGTTTAGTGTAATTGGTTGTGATTATTTTTTTTGTTTGAAGAGACCATGGTTCAAATCTTGATATTGATACTCTTTCATATGAAGTAGATAATAATTGTGATGACAAAATTACTCTTTCTACTTTCACTCTCACATCATGAAATTTGAAATCGAAAATCTTAAAACATTGAATATATCTTATAGAAAGAGCTTCTTCAACCAAGTAGGAAATGTATTTTACCTGAAATTATTATATCTTATAGAAAGTGATAATTGTGAAATCAGAACTCAAGTAACATTGATTCAAACATTAAATAATAAATTGTATGTATGGTTCAGTTTAGACAAAATACATATTTGTAGCCAAAACATTGATCTTTGTGACAAATATAATAAAGATCTTCGTCCAAGGTTAATCGCTTCACATATGTAAGTCATTCATTTTTTTCTCTCTTTGTCTCATGGTTTTATCTTTCTAATTAATAACAACATTGACTTTTATTTTCAGGTTGTATCATGAGTAGAACATGCAGAAGATTTTTTTTTATCCTATTGCGCAATACGATGTTTGAAGCCCGATGGATCTCTTGTGTAGTTGCTCCTCTTTATGTTCTTAGGTTTCAACTTCAATGGGGCTTTTATCTTCATAGAAGGTTCATTGAATTGATCTGGTAGGCTATTATTTCCTTCCTAATTTATCTAAGTTGTTTGTGATTGATATATAAATTATAGGAAAGAAATTTGAGCGGTGGTTTGGGTGCTAGATTTGTTTGAAATCAAATAGATGTTTGTGTAGAACAGGGGCAGTTGTACTTTACTATCACCCTATCTACTTTTTTGTTGTTTGTTTGTAGTATTTCTTTTGTTCTTTGGTTAGCTATTGAAATATTAGAATAAGATCATCATTTTCTTTTTTCAAGTAAAATATTTCTACTCAGGTTTTATTTTGTCATATCTAATGTTCTCCGCAATTATATTTTTCTTCATCAATCTCGATTCTTATGGTCCAGCTCACCAATCAAATTTTGATATTGTTTTAGGATTAACTACACACTACTGATTTTGTCGATGTTTTTAGTGTCCATCAATATAATTGCAAGCCATAATGATTGCTAAAGTTAAGTCTCCACGCAACAATACTCGGGAAGGTGGGGGTTTGAACTTGGAGTAGAAGAGTTGGGATTATATTT